TCCTATCTCCATGGCAACTCTTCAGGTTGCCATGGTGACATGTAAGTGATTATTTGGAGACCCTTAAATAAATCACCCATGGTGGTATATGCTAGAAGCATTTGGCTCTGGCTCTTATGTTTGGGGCCAGGGTTGGGGCCCAGGCGTGCAGGCAGAAATGGGAGGAGGTGGGAGGCTGTGGCCCGGGCCTGTTACCCTTGGTTCTAACACTAACAGGGGCCCTCTCTGGGCAAAGGTGGAATTGAGCCTTTTGGGAAGTGATGCCAGGACAAGCAGCAGCCAGGCTTGTGCAGTCCTTGAATACAGAGATCCCACAGCAAGGAGGACTGTGGGGTCAGGATGAGGGGCAGCTGTGAGGAAACTGGAACGTGACTGAGCAGGGATTTAAACTCCCTGATGCTAACTGCTAAGAGGGAATTTAAAATTGAATCCACTTCATTTATTGGACTAATATTTTTAAAGCACCTACCACACGTCAAGCACAGTGCTAAGCACTGAGGATACAGAAGTGAATAATACAAACAAAAATACCTGTTCCCATGGAACTTACATTCTACTGGGAAGATGCAGTTAGCACAATAAATAATAAATTATACAGGCTAGATGGTGATTTAAGTGTTAGGGAAGGGCCTTGGGACTATTGGGATAAGCTATAGCACACACTGCCACAGGGGCTCAGATCTCCAGGCAGTCATGGGACTCAGCCTTTGCGACAATTCCTAAAAGGGAGGAGGGTGAGGTGTGAGAGGATCTGGTGAAGATCGGAATCTCTTCAGCAATATCTGGTTCTTTCTCAAGTTCTGGCAACATGGCTAAGCAATTTACAGTTTTCTAGCTTCCTTGATGCTTCACAGGACGTTGAAGTAGACAGACATGGCTCAGTATACTTTTCATTGTATAGACTGGGAAACTGACGGCGGAGGAAAGGAGGCAGCGCACCTAAGGCAATGCTGCTAATGGCAATCAGGGTGACAACTAGAACTTGAGTCTTGAATATCTTAGTCCAAGACCATGTCTGCTGGACCAATGAACTTATTCCCAAGTCTGCAAATTCATATCTAACCCGAACACTATCTTACAAAAGGCTGAATAAATTGCTTGTCTTGTCCAACTGGGAGACTGGCACAGTGTATCTGGAGGGTCTGGTTTATTTCTAAGGTCAACATCAGGTGGTTATGACATGCTCTCAGACTTGTATGTGATAAATTGGTCACACCCATTCTTTTGTGGTGGAACAGACCGAAGGGCATGATTCTCCTAACCCCTGGCTTCCCCTGGAGGCAATATACCTCCTCCAGGAAATGGAGGTTTGGAAGCAAAGGCCCAAAGCACACAATGTACACAGAGTGTGGACTCTGTGCCAAAAAGCTTCCCAAGAAGGCAGTGAGGCTCAAGTCTTTCCACACCAGGCTCTCTCTCCTTTCATGAGTGCAGATTATTCACCTTCGAAGAGTCCTTGCTTGAGTCTTTGGTCAGGTTAATAGGCAACGGAAAATGATTTCCAACCAGTTTAAGCCCTAAGAGGTATTCACTGGAAAGTTCCTTGGATGGTGAGTAGGGAAGCTGAGCGGCCAGCTTCAGGAGGTGCACAAGGCCATGAACATTCTCTGGGGCCTGGGCTCAGCTCAGACACCAATTCAAAGTTTCTGGAGAGGATGTGATTGGGCTCCTGCTGGAAGCCCTTGGTCCTTGGAGGGACCAGCCTCTCCCCTTCCACAGGGATTTCCTGCACATTAGTCCTACTGTCTGGAACACCCTTCCGCTTTCTCTTCTCATCCTTTAGGTTTCAGCTTCCATGTCGCCTCCTCACAGAGAGGCCTTCTCAGACCACCCAACAGAAGCGGGGCTCCCCCTTCTTCTCTATCACTGTAGCCATCTCTTCTTTGGCTCTTACCGGTCTGGTTGTTCTCTCTTCCATTAACTCATGTTTTCCAGTCGAATAAGATGCTACTGGCCACATGTGGCTATTGAGCACTTGAAACTTGAGATGTGCTGTTCAGTGTACAACATATACTGGATTTTGAAAACTTAGTATGTAAAATAGCTCATTTGTAATTTTATATTGCTTATATGTTAAATATTTTGTATATGTTGAATAAATGTATGTTGTTACTATTAAGTTCAACAGTTCTTTTTTTAATGTGGATACTAGAAACATTTTAATTGCATGTGGCTTGTACTATATTTCTGTTGGATAGTGCTATGATTAGATTAATTCCACAAGGAAAGGGACGATGGAAATTTTGTTCACCATTCTATACCCAACACCTGGTATTGGGGCCAGGACATAGCAGGTGAGCAATAAACAGTGTTATTTATTAAATAAGTTTGACAGTTATATTTTCCATCAGCCCAGATATATTTTGAACAGCCTGCTAAGGGAATATGATCTAATTTAAAGGTCATTTTATTTAAAGAAACCCTCAGGCATAAAATGTGCAAGAAACGGGAAAAAAGAGAGAGTGAAGGGGTCGGTGTCTCAGTCTCTTTTTCTGAAGAGAAAGCGGTGTACAACATTCTAGTTCTGAGGAGTTTGGAAGAATATTCTAACCTTGTCAAAAAAAAAAAAAAAATCCCAATATACCAGAAGCTGTCGCGCAATTGTTCCTCACTTCCTGTTCCTTTTTCTGTGCTAAATAAGCCCCTGCTTTTAGCTTAAGCACATGGCCACTCAGAACCCAAATATTTTCAGCCTCCCTTGGAGCTGGGTTTGGTTAGTTCTGGCTAAGGGGATGTAAACAGAAATGTCAAGTAACTTTCGGGAACTTTCCTTAGAGGGAAATG